AAATATGGATATTAACCCAGCTAGGATTTTTCTATTAGGATTGCAGACCAAGAAGCCGTCAATTCTGAATCGGACACGCTCGGATTTTGTCCGAATTTAAGTGAACTCATACCACAGACATGCCTGCTGTGAATATTTCTGCTCCCCAACCTACCAGGAAACATATGTATAATAAAATACTTTGAATATAATATTGTATATTTTGTAAAACAAAAACTTCTTATGACGAGTAATTTTGCAAAATCCCACAAAAAAATAACAAGTGAAAACATTTTTAATTATAACCATTAATATTCTATCAATAAATAATAAATATTGTAAAATCATTAAAATCATAAATTTTCTCACAAATATTTATTGCTAATTCCCTCGAATTCATAGAATACATATTACAGATACACTATACATGTATAGTTAAATGTTAAAAAATATACAACGTATCCGCAACTCACGCAATTTATGAGAAACCTTAAATTGTCCTTGATTATAAAACATTATACAATAAGTTAATGTGAAATCAACAATTTTTAATTCAATAAATTATTAAAGAAATGATCACGATTCAATAATATATAATATACACATAATATAATAATGTTTATTTTATACACAACATATATATATATATTTAACACATTTAAATAATATAATCCAAAACAATAACAGGGAAATAATGTGTATAGGTAAAATGTAATACAGGTAATTCATAAAACCATTTTTGTAAATTTTCGTAACACATAAATGAAACGTAACGCACATTTATATAGGTAAAATCAGTAAAATAAAAAAAGTAAATAACCTTGATTCAAAAAAAAAAAAAAAAAAAGCGGAAAATAATGTAGAAAATTTAATCAGATGAGTGAGATTTCCGTTTTTGTGTATAATAATATTTTAACTTACATAATAAATTTTCACGAAAATATCATAATATGTTGTATATCAAATCACTCTTTTGAGTATGGTATTACAGCCATTGTGTTTCCACAAGAAATTTACATGATTTTATACAAAAATGAAAATTATTTAAAGACAATTATTTAACATTCTTCATTCAACAATTTTTTGACAAAATTGAAAAATATAATATTACGACTACACATCCTTATTTATAGTATTTATTAACGAAGACCAAATACGGTCAATCATTTGCTATTGCTGATTTAAAAGTATAAATGCAATCTGATTGGTAATTTTTTGGTAATTAGTTTATAGCATTTTAATCATTAATCTTATAATACCGTAGGTTGTTAAATATTGTGTAGGTTTAAATAATTACATACATGTTAATATCAAGAAATATTATACTCGTATAAGAGCAAATAGATATTAAACACTATATGAACAGTTTTTCCAAGAAATTTCCAAAAAGAAGCAATATAATACAAACAAAGTAATGTTTTAATCCGAAGGTTATTCTCGCAGGGGCTAAAAATTCAGATTCAACTTTATAATATAACACTTGTATAACAATTTTGGCTGCGGACATTGGCATATGCATTATCATCTACCCACATTAAGCATATACATATAGTCATTTAAATTTATTGCTTATTTGCTAAAACTAAACGTAATCCAATTCTCAATACAATTTTTATTCTAAATCGAAAATATAAAAATTTCTTTTATGTGATCTTCTTGAAATATATTTTTTAAATTAAAATATACCAAATCAATGACTACATTCGCCACATTAGTATTATGTTTTAATTTGTTTTCTCATTTCGTTCATCAAAAATGTAATTTTGAAAAGTGCTATAGAACACGCCTCAAAAATCTATCTAGGTAAAAAAAAACAATCTTAATTTAAGAAAAGAATAATAGAAAAAGTAATAAAATAATATCAAGGACTTTACATTCCATAAATGTTCACATATTCATAAAATATATGAGTGATCATTAAGAGAATAGCTTATGCACAAGGATGTGAGCGAGTTTGACAATATGTGTTAAACAGTTATTCTTTGTAATTCTTTTAATATGTTTTATATTTTTATTATCAACTGCATTGCATACAATAAGGAAGACTATATGATGGCACCGAATTTCGGATGTGGAGTTGTTTTCAGTTGGAAGCGTAAAAATTTGAAAATTAATATTTAAATTCGCGGTGTTAATACAATGAACATAGAAATTTTTTGAAACAATCAGGGTTCAGATTAATAAGCTTAATAGTGTCCTTAATATTGGACGGAAATGTTTAAATGGCATTTTCATAATCTTCTGTAACACTTTCACTAAACTAGAGAATATACATTGCGGCCGATTATGTGCTGACCACATTAGATTTTTTTTTTCTTTTCAGATCTAAATAGACTGATAATAAAATAAAAATAAAAATTCTAACTGTAATAAAATTTTTTATTTTCTTTGTTTTATTATATTATTTTGGTTAGTTTGTCATTATTCATGTTAACATCGTAGGTACATGCATATAAGTGTGTACAATAAAAATAAACTGTACAAAAATAAATTTATGAAAAATATTTTACAGTTATGTTTTAACACCTATACATATGTGTAAATCTTTATGTCAAATTTGTAATAAATATTTAAAATAAACAACGAAATTCGTTGAATTTAAGACAACGTTTATTAAATTGCAGATTTAACGTCAATTTATTAACTTAGTCAGCAATTTTATTACTGAATATGTCAAATCAAAATTAGATTTTCATTTAGAAAGGAATATATATACATTGCAAGGACATATTGTTGTCATAATAATAAGTAAGCAGCATAAATTGTAAAAAAATTTTAGTAAGAGTTTTTTATAATGTATTTTATTTTTACATTATTAGAAATATAAAATATCTTAATCCGAAATGTGTAAAATCAAATTTTTAATATTAAAGCGTTACTCACACTTGTCATATATTCTGTAGACAAAACTGTAATACAATTCCTGATTTAAAAAAAATATTAGTACAGTTACTATAAATTTTAATTGCTGAATTATGTATAGGTACCATTATATCAGGAAATTTTATTATATAATTTAAAAAAATTATAACATTTGGTATTACTTTGCTATATAAAATAATTTTGGTTTGGCAACGCTCTATTTTCATTTCATATCTTGAAAAATGACAAACCTGGGACATTTAAGTTATTCATTTTACCTGTTTTTAGTAAAGAATATTATTACAATTGTATACACTTTTATATTAAAATAAAAGACATTTGAGTTTATTTCATATCAAAATGTTACTTTCATCTTGGGAATAAAAACCAAAATATTTTTTAATTTTTATTGAAGTTTTTGTTATTTACTCATTACATACAATCATACTTTATATATACACGTAAAAATAAGTATATGACGCTTATATTACATGGGTACCCCAACAATTTGAAAATAAAAAAGAAAACATAAAAAAGTATAACGAAATTTTAACATTTTTTGAAAGAAATTATCTTTTGAGTTTTTCTACTTTTATTTTATTTTTAACATGCAAGTTAAATTCTTATCCCGAGAGATACTTCCTTCAAATAAACAACGAATAACTTGAAAATAAAAATGATAAAAATTCATAACTTAAGTTTTAGAGGTTCCATTCAGAGACTTAAAAGTTTGAATAAATATTTTTTTAAAAATAAAAACAAAAAATTATTTTTTAAACTTTTCTAAAATTGAAAACTTAATATATGATTCTTCTTATTATCATTTCTTAAAAACCATAACTAATATACAGGTAGATGCTCCAAGTATCATTTAAATAGTATTTTATATCTGTTTTAGTATAATATACTAGTTTATCAGTATATTATATTCTAGTTTACATAATAATATTGCGGCTAAATGGCCAAAAATACTCCATTTTGAAATATCTATCTCACTTCATATTGAAAAAGATTTTTAAACGGTTTGTAGACAAATAGACTTGTGGCATTTAACTTTTTTGAAAATGCCATAAACTTATAGATTCATGAAATACTTGGAGTTTTTAAAATTATTAAGATTAGAAATTATCTTTTAGACAATAGAATAGAGTTTTATACATCGACTTTGTTAATGAACAAATTAGTAAAATTTTTCGTAAAATCGAAAATTGGGTTTTTACTGAGGATTGATTTTATATTTTTGAGATAATATGATCAGACGATAATGAACATATTTCCTTAAATTATTTACGATGAATTCCTAATACATTTACTATTAATTTGTCGGGAGAATGATAATTAATACTATTTGAGGAAAACAGAAACATGATTTCAACGGAGACCTGTTTTTCAATTATTTGAACCGTCTTCAATATAATTGGCGTCGAATCTTGAAATTTTAAATTTGCACCAAAAATTTCCTTTTCGCCTTTGATATGTATGACAAAGATATTACTCACAGATTGTAGATTTTCTCACACTTCTAGCTTACAAGTAATTAAACATGCGTATGTAAACAAAATAACCTTTAGCAAAAATATTGGGAAGTTTTAAGGACAAAACAAATTGAATTATAACCACATTTTTAAAAATAAAATTAAGCATTTGTGTTAAATTATTACTAGTAATTAAAATTTTACTATTTACAAACGCTTGTGTTCCCAAGTACAATAACACACACTGCTTCTAAAAATATTCATTTTAATTTCATGAAATCCCCAAACAGCGCTGAAGTCGTTATGTAGTAAATTTTCAAGTATTGACACAAACCTTTTTTTCTTTAATAAATATAACTTTACTGTTATAGAAAATATTTGGTATGGCCATCCAATGCATAGATTTTTATGTTACAACAGAAAACTTGTAACCAAATTTACGTTATTTTACCAATTTTTTAATATACTAAGTTCTAATTTTACCTGTACCTACATAAGTTATATTTACCTAAGTGATAAAATTGCATCTACGCAATATAAAATGCTTTATTATGATAAAATAATTAAATTTTAAGCAAGTTAAAAAATTTCGATTGTTTTCTATTATGTCTTAACACTACAATAACAGAAATATGAAGTGTATTTATCTATTTTGCATCTGCATATAACAATATATTATTAATATTATAAAAATTTTAAAAATTTCTAATTTTTTAAATGTTAAAAATATATATAATTTTAAAATTATGTAAAAGAAAATAAACTACATTATTGCATAACTATTACTTCAAAATAACTGCCACCCTTTTAACAAAAAGTAAAATTGACATTTTTTATAAATTGACTTGTTCAGTTGTACGAAAATTGGTTGATCGCAGAAAATTTATAATTTGGCCCAATACATAATATATACCGATGAGTTTTATGCTTTTTCTGCTTTTTTCAATATTAACTTTTCTCTAAATTTGTAAAAATCAGAAATATTTATTGGGACTCTTGTATTTGTCTGTATGCAAACACGCTTCCTTTTTCAACAAAATTCTTACTCTCTGATTTAAAGTTGTTTTCCGATGTAACATTACCTACTTTGCCGTACCCGCCACCACCTGGTGTTTTCATAGAAAATATATCCCCTGCTTCAACATTTACTGCAGTTTTGCTACCCAAACTTATAATGCGACCGTTTGGCTTAATCAGTAAATTAACTCCCCTCTTACCAGATGATCCACCATTCATTCCATATGGCTCTAAAACTCTTCTTTCAGTTAAAACTGATAACGTAACAGGTTTTCGAAACAGAAGTTCTCTTTGTACACCTTCTCCTCCATTAAAAGCACCTGCTCCACCGGAATTATCGTCTCTTAAGCAAAATTTATTCAATACTATTGGGTAACGCAATTCAAGAATTTCAGGATCGGTTATTCTAGTATTTGTCATATGAGTATGAACACCGCCAGCGCCATTCCAATTGGGTCCTGCTCCACTTCCGCCAGCAACAGTTTCATAGTAACCCCAAGTGTCATCTCCAATTGTAATATTATTCATGCAGCCTTGAGAAGCGGCACATATTCGAAATGCTTTTAAAACCACATCAACGACTCTCTGTGACGTTAGGACATTACCTCCTACAACAGCAGCGTTTTCAGATGGATCCAATATAGAATTTTTTGGTATAATAGATTTTATTGGTGCCAAACATCCTTGATTCAATGGTATATCATGACCAACCATACACCTCAGACAATATATTAAAGCAGAAATCGTAATTGCCCTTGGAGCATTGCAATTACCCCAAACTTCAGAACCTGAACCAGAAAAATCACACACTGCTGAGCCTTGACTTTCGTCGATTGTTACCTTAAATAACAGTTATTACACTTTAATAAAAGAATCCGTTTAAAATCTTTGTATACCTTCAAGCGAATTGGTGATCCATCATCCATCATTTCTTCAGCTTCTAGGAATTCTATACCTTCCTTTTTCAAAATGTTTTTTGAAATTGATTTCAGCATTTCTCGAACTGCAATTTCTGCATTTTCCTGAATATAATTCATATAGGCCTGAACAACATCAAGCCCATAGACATCAATAAGCTCACCAACCAACTGTATACCTTTATGATTTGCAGCTATTTGTGCTTTCAAATCTGAAATGTTGTCTGACAGATTTCTAGTCCCAGCTGCTCCTGGGGCATTAGATGGCGTTGTTAGTTCTTTTATTAAATCCTCTTCTTGAAATACACCTTCTTTTACTATCATAAATGACTTAAATGCGGCACCTTCTTCTTCCAATGTTCTAGAGTGCGGTGGCATTGAACCTGGTGTAATGCCTCCAATATCAGCATGATGTCCTCTTGAAGCTACAAAAAACACCGGTAGTGTTTGGTTTCTAAAATAAAAATTAATTTTGAAAATAAAATAACGGACATTGAATTAATTTTCGAACTATACAAATTACTTGTAAAACACAGGTGTTACAACTGTTAAATCCGGCAGATGAGACCCACCAGCTTGTGGGTGATTAGATAATATTACATCTCCATCTCTTAATGTATTGCCACGGATTTTTAATTGATATTGCACAGTTTCTTGCATGGCGCCCAAATGTACTGGTATATGCGGAGCATTACTAACCAATCCACCATCCGGACCGAATAATGCACACGAAAAATCTAAACGTTCCTTGATATTTGTCGATATTGAAGTTCGTTGCAAAACTCTATAATCCAGTTTAGTTATCTTTACAATTTATTTCAAATTTAAATAACAAAAGTTTACCTTCCCATCTGTTCAGCAATGCTCATAAAACGGTGGCTAAAAATACTTAATTGTACAGCATTTAGCTTTGTATCTATACCATGCTTATAATTTGTACCAACATTAATAGTTAAATCCCCATATTTGGAAACTTCAGCAGAACAATCTGGTTCAATTAATATTGTTGAAAGGTTATCAATTAAAATAGCAGGTCCTGTAATTAGGTGTCCTTTCTTAAATTTGTTAGATAAATAAACAGGACATTCCACTAAACCCTTCTCAAAGTAGACTTTTGTAAAGCACTCTGCTTCCAATTCAGTAGTCGAATTCTCAATTTCTTTTTCTGGAGGAGTGGTGGTCTTTCCTAAACCTCTAACACGAACGTCATCAACTATTATTTTACGGTTTTGCAGCACAAAGCCAAATTCAGATTTGTATCTTTCAACAAACGGAACGTTAAAATCACCGTATTTTTTAAATAAGTTATTTGTATTTTTGACATTTGAAGATAATTTAGGAGAACACATTAACGCACAATCAGTTCCCTCATAACGTAAGTGAAGGTATGGTTCCAAAATAATATTTTCAAAACCTTGTTGTTTCAATTTAATTTCACATTTTTGACTAAGATTATCTAATCTAGCAGCAATCATTTCAAAATTATTTTCGCTGTACTCTAAACCAAATGGTTCTTGTACTTCAGTTACAACATCTGCAAGTGCCATACCATAAGCTGATAAAACACCAGCGTACTTATGAACAAGAACTTTTGACATTCCTAACTCACGAGCGATACTACAAGCATGTTGCCCACCAGCTCCACCAAAACAAGCCAAAGTATGTTTCGAGGTGTCATATCCTCTGGCTTGAGTTAAAGCCCGAATTGGACGACACATTGCCTCATTTGCCACCCTAATAAAACCTAAAGCTATTTCTTCTAGAGTGAGTTCTTTTTCATTCTTCTGTTTCAAAAAGGAATTTATGGACGCCTTTAATTGTTGAAATTTTTCTCTTGTAGCTTCATAATCTAAAGGTTCTTTTTCAGTTGGACCAAAAATCTTTGGAAAATATTTCGGCAAAAGTCTGCCTAATATTAAATTAGCATCGGTTACAGTAAGTGGGCCACCTTTTTTATAACACGTTGGTCCTGGATGCGCTCCTGCAGATTCGGGACCAACAACAAACAAACCTGACCTAAAGAATAATCTTGATCCTCCGCCAGCTGCAACTGTATTGATATCTAACTGAGGAGCTTGAATTGTTACTCCAGCTGTCGTTGATTCAATTACATGTTCATATTTGTTATGATACCTTGATACATCAGTTGAAGTTCCGCCCATATCAAATCCAATTAAAGGCAATTCAGTTTCTTTTGAACCAGTCACAGCGTATCCGACCACTCCACCGGCGGGTCCGCTTAATATAGCACGTGCTCCTCTAAAATTTTCCATTTTGGTTAAACCACCATCACTTTGCATAAATAAAACATCACAGTTAGCAAGTTCATCCTTAAATCCTGACTTGAAACTAGGAGAATCATTTTTTTAAGTAAGATAATCACTCCTATGTAACGAATATACCTTTTTAAATATCTTTCAACATGAGGTGTTAAATATGCTTCAGCACAAGCAGTGTATCCTCTTGCAACTACACGGCACATTTGCATTGCCTGATGTGACAAAGTAATATGAGAAAAACCTATTTTAGTGTAAAAAGTATTATAAATACTATTGCAATAACTGCAGTTTTTACCTAAATCTTTTGCGATTTTTCCGATTTCTAATTCGTGGTTTGGACAAGCGTAACTGTGCGCTAATACAACAGCAATCGATGATATTCCATCTTCTAAAACTTTTTTAAGTTTCATTTTTACTTCATCATTATTTAATGGAGTTTTTTCAAGATATTTTGATCCAGCAACTCCTTCTAAAACTTTCCAAGAATTATCTATAGAATAAAATATTTTTAATTTAATAGAATTTTTTTCAAATTGACATATTTTGGAAAAATTACCCAATTGACATATTTTTTGTTCAGGCACTATTCGACAATCAATTTCTACAACCTTTTGATATAAATTGGACGGTTTTCGAATATTTAAATCAAATATTTTTGGACGTGCTTGGTTTCCAATATAAAGTAAATCTTTGAAACCTTTATTTACTATTAATGCTACTGGATCTCCTTTTCTTTCTAAAAGTGCATTTGTGGCTACAGTTGTACCCATACGTACCCATCCAATCAAAGAAGTGTCTACAACACCGTCAGATGTTAATGCTTTTCCGGTTTCCTTTCAATAATTTTGCTATTATTTTCTTTTTTTATTTTTTTTTTTATCTAAATTTGATTTACCTGTTGTAATATCCGCTTTATACCTTCTCTCGGTGCATCACTATAATTTGCCGGATCTTCCGATAACAACTTTAAAGTTTTTACATCACCATTGGGACAAATGCATAATACATCCGTGAAAGTTCCTCCACGATCGATAGCAAAACAATATTTTGTACTCATTATTTCACTGAGTTTTGGATATTCAACTTGAGTAGTAAAATATTTGTTATTAAATCTGATGTAGTCAAAAGATAAATCTAAAAATACAGATTAAAATAAATTTTTTTAACGAAAATTACTTTTCACCTTTTGTTCTAATGAGAAATAAATTTCTAAATACAATGTTTTTAATCATAATAAATTTATTATTTATTTAATTTAGCTTGTTTTCTTAAAGTAAACACGTTTAAGCTTTGCTTTGTAGATGTCTTTGCTTTGTAAAAATGTATAAATTTTTAAAATTCAATTTAGCTATCGCAGTAGATGAAGATGAAGAAAATACGGTATTCAAATGAGAATGTCATTGAATATTGAAAATTAGAATTAGAGATAAGAATAATTAAACAAATTAATGACGAATTAAATACATTTTCTAATATTTGTTTTGTTACACGAGTACTTCAATCTAATTGAACTTGAAATAAATAAAATTTGAGACAAAAAATTGGGTTGCTTAAACTTGATAAGGCTCTTTTATAAAGTAGGTAAATTGATAAGACATTTTTAAGTAAATTAAACAAAACATAATGAAACCGAAAAAAAAATATTTTAAAAATAAAAACAATATCAAATGCAAGCTAATTAAAATTTAATTAAATATTACAAATAACTATCATACAGTTTTTTTGTGACTCTGTATGCCGTAGCACGGGATGCCTTAGAAAAGTTTAAAATTATAATGAACGCCTACGTACCTAAAGAACGCCTAAAAATTTTGACAAATTTAAACTTTCAACATCATAAAACTTTGAAATTCTAGATCACGATAAATGTGCCTATGTATACATCTCTTGAATACATTATAAAAACTTTTAGTTTTCTCAAAATTCAATTTGTATTAAATAATTTGTATATTTGTATTAACTGAATTAATATTATGCAATCCCGAAAATTTTTGTTATTCAAATAATGGAATATCAAATCACTTATTAGTATTGTAAATAAATTACATGACAAATAAATTTATATAAGTACCTCAACTACACTTAATTTTAATCGGCTGATAGCTCTTTATATGTAGGTCTCTTTCAAATTTCTCAAACTACTAATATATAACTATGTTAATTTCATTTTATATCTGAAACTTTTTGTATTTAGTAAGAAACTATTTAATGATAAGGTATTATGAAACACTAGAGAAACCACCTGTTTTCTCTACACAATATTTAAAACAATTTAATAATAAAATAACAAACTAATAAATTATTTTCAATCTTAATAAATTACCTACTTTTTTAACAAATAAAATTGCCTAAAGAGTTGTGCGGCACTCAATTTTAATCGACCGATAGCTTTTAACACCTTCAAAATTATGGAACGACTAAAATTTAATTTTCTATTGCTTTTTTAGCAAAAATTTTATTATTTACATTGAAGTATGAAAGTATTTAAGAAAGTGATAAGGTATGTTAATGAAATATGTCATATATAGATACCTACCTACTTAATATTTATATAAATTTAATAGATAAGATTAACAGCCTATTCGCTAATTTTGTGGTCCAGGCTATTGTATTTTTGCACGCATACGATTATTCTCATCATTTTGTTTTTGATTTGTAGTATTTACGAATAAACTTTTGCTCCTCTAATTCATATATTTAAAATGTTTTAAAATTTATCTAATGAAATTGCTTAATATAACAGTCCTTTCTGTTATGAATAGTTTAATGTTTAAAATTTAAAAAACCAGAAGTGCGGGGCTCGGTATCGGTAATTTTCGAATATAAATTAATATAAATGAACATATTAATGAAAGCTGATAAAAATTTTTATAGAAATTTCGCATCTAATTTTTAGTTTTAAAATATAAAGGTTTTATACTGTCTATGTTTAAAGTCTAATGAATTATGTAGGTACATATTTGCATACTTACGTGCTCGTAAACCTAATTAAACTATCGTGATAAATTATTTAAGATGGCAAAATTTCTTAGCATTAGTAATTGACAAATAGAAAATTTAAAAATGATTATTTTAATTACTTATATTTATTTATTCGTGATATTGAATAATTCTATTTACAAACTATTAAAAAAGTAAAATAAAACGAAAAAAATTAATACAAACTACAGACTAAATTGTTTTTAACTAAAATTCCATTAAATTAAAAACAAAAAACATATGATTTTGACATTTCACTTTTGCTACCAATTTGAGGTTTTGTAGTTGGTAAATTTGTAGCTATCAGTTTTATGTTTAATTTGTTTAAGCATGAACAACAACCATATTTGTGGGACTAAAATTCCTTTTTCTATAGTCACGAAATATTTTCGAGTAAATTGAAACAGCACAATTTCTAAAGTATGCATATAGTGTATTATTAAAATTATATTAGTTATCTATTAAAAAAACTTTTTTTATTAGATAACTCTGATAGTTTTTTTCATAACTATTCAGCTTTCATTCTCTTAGCATACTACAACGGCAAACTGTATTATTATAAATTTTCCCTTTTTCTAATAGTTTTTTTTGGTCAAATACCCCGTTTATATCGTAGTTTCAAACATACTTGAAGTCTATTTTATATCCATATAAACTTTATTTGACTTGAAACCGGCTTCACTCAAGTCAATCAAAAAATTTTGCTTACTTAAATTAAAATATTATGCTAATAATGGATTTATATATTCTAGCAACTAAACACCATTTTCGGACTTTCAAGCTACCATAGTAAAAACGTAACTTGAGCTTCGAGTTGGTTTCTAGGCAAGTATCAAAGTTGCTGTATTAACGAGGCAAATGCCTTCGCAGTTTCTTGACGAGAATGAGTATTTAATATTTTTAAAAATTCAGTTCTTACTTAGTACATACACAGTAAACTTTCGGCAGAATTGATTTGGTATTAACTGAACTGTCAAAAATTTATTGTTGAAAATGCAGAGATATTTCTTATTCAAAAAATCTTGCAAAATTTGCAGTTGCAAAAAAAAAAAACAATAAATAAAACATAGTTTGCATTTCGAAGAAATATTAAATTAAGATTTTTTAATTTTTTAATTAAGTTGTAATTAAAAATAAATTACTGTAAAAATTGCCAACAATATCAAATTGTTAATATTAAGTTTTCACAATTGTGTCTTTTCTGCTTTTAAACTAACGTTGTCAAAAACTAACAGGATAATGATACCTTACCAGAATATAATCAGTCTGAAAATCATCTCAATCACATCAATCACTTTCATTTGCAAATGCAATGACAAATATGCAAATATAGCAACGCGTGTCGTTTATTTATAGTAACTCGTGTCATGGCGTTTTATAATTATTAATTAAAAATCTCGTTTTTCTTCCTAGTTTTCCTTTTCTACATCAAAATCAGATTTTTTTAACAATTAGTTTTTGTAAATGCAGTAAGACATGAATAAATACAATGAAAAAATGATAGTTATTTGAAATTAGCAGCAAAAACTGAAGTTCATGACTCTATCGTCAAAAAATATTAAAATTGATGATTTTTGCAAATTGTATGCAAATGACGTTCTGTGGAAACGCTACTACCTACATATTAAATATTTTTTCAGTGTGCATGAAGACGAGCAACGGCAAACAATAATTTTGAATTTACTACTGAGATTAAATTTAATTTTTAATGGAAATAGTGTGAATTGGTGATAATATAATTTTACTACTTCTTGCTCTGCAATATCTAATAAGAAAAAATTAATTCTTTGACGAAGATACTACCATCAGGTAAATAATTTTTGGTAAACCTTAAAATAAAAACTCTCAATTTTTAAATTCCACATTTTTATTTAATATTTATAATATCGCTTTTATATATATACGTATATATATATATATATATATATTTTTTCTTATTCTTAAATTAAATATTCAATATTTGAGTGAAAGTAAATTTCAATTCTTAATATTTTTACTTTTTTTTTTTTGAATCTCATATTTAGTTTTATTTCCATTACTATTTGTTTCTTGCTTTTTATTTTAATTCTAAATAGAATATTTACACGTTTTTCATTTCATTTGCACAAAATTTAAAAAAAAACCCTACATTGGTTTTTATTTTTTTTCTCTTTTACTTAATTAATTTTACATTTTAATATTTAATTTTTAAACTTTTTGTATTTACGTGTTTTTTTTTTTGTATTTTTTTTTAAATTTCTTTATATTTAATTAATAAAATATTACAAAATTAATAAACAATAGGTTATTAACAAATTACTTAATGAGAAAGGAAAGAGTGTGGAAAATTAGTTAGGGTAGGAATAAAAGAGTAAAGTAATTAAGTAATTTTTTTTTTTACTTAGTATTTAATTTCGTTATCAATATTTATTATAGAATTCCTAAGATAATGTTTTTTTTTTGCTTTTTACACATTTATTTTAAAATTTTAATATTATGTATGCATACATGGTATTAATTATAATTTTAGAGTACATTATTGTGGAAATTACAAAAACAATTAAGGATAAATATGAGCAATTTACCTTATATGATAAAATTTATAATTGAAAGATGCCTAAATAAAAAATGCCTAAGGAAACCATTATTCATCTGAATTTTCTTTTTAATGTAACAAGTAAATTAAACGAATATTAATATTAAAATTGTAAACTGTGTTTTATCATTCTGGTATTTATGCAATTTTAATGGAATAAATAGCTATAGGATTTTAACGTGCTATAGGATTTTATAACTGTAATAAGAATACACTATTGGAATATACATAAATGAATTATAAAATTTTACGATGTTAAGAAATTTAAACTCTAGGAGTTTAAAGGCATACATAGCTATCTATTATTTTTCATATTTTATTATTTTCATAAATTTTGTGACCAAAACTATAATGTACTCAATTTATATAAAAAAAAAACCTGACATACATAAGTAATTATATTTTAATGTACTATTCATAAAATAATTTTATATTTTATTATTATTTTTTTTTATACAAAGACACGTTGTTCACGTATTTCTAAATAAATATTCCTTATATAATATAACATGTAGTTTATCATTTTTGTTTTTTATTATTATTATTTTCTTTGGATTTTATAAATATTTGTAATGCAAAAATATTTTTTAATAAATGAAATTATAAAAGAAAACGTTTTTTTTGTTTTTTTGTTTTCAAGCGAAATATTTTTATTTAATAAATATTTATTTGGTTTTAATTTTTTAAAAATTATTTTCAGACTTTATAATGTACATTTTACATATTTACCAAACATCTACTTTCTTATTTACGTTTTTTTTCCTATTTAATAATTAAATTTTACTCATTCTTTAACTTAAATTACAATTTTTATAATTTATTTATTTTTTATTATGTATAATATAATATGTACGTAATGTAAATTAAAATTCTTTCAAATTTAGTTTCTTTTTTCCTAAAATATATTTTTATTTTATATAATATAGTAAATGTGTATTAATATAGAATATATCGATTTATCTGGTCACAATTTTTATATTTTTCTTCTTTTTTTTAGCATATTTCAAAGTAATGAACATAAAATAAATTTATTTTGCTTTTTTCTTTTTGTTTTAACTCCCTTAATTTATTTTAGTTTTACAAAACAATTTTTTAATTTTAATTTTTTTTAACTTTTTTTTTTTTTTGAGTAAATTAATTTTTTTTTTTTCAGTTTATCACAGATTTTTAAAAATTAAAAAACGCTAAAATGTTTTAAAACCTTTAATTTCATTTTTTTTTTGTTCCTTTTTGAATTTTTATATTATTTTAAAAATCAAATGTTTGGAGCTTAATAAATTTTGTTGTCATTCTTTTAAATATTAATTATTTTAAGTAATATATTAATAATTTCAATTCTATATTTTTTAATAATTATTTTAATTGTAAGAGTTATTTTTAAAATTTTTTCAATTATCTTACATACATATATATTTTTATCGTAGTTAATTACGCTATTGTAAATAATTGAAAAATAAAAAAAATTTGAGTCCTGGTTATTATTATTTAATAAAATATAATATAGGAATTTTGTAGAATATCGAAAATTATAATTTGATAAATCATATTAAAATTAGTGTATTCTTTATTATTTGCTTTTTTTTCAATACATTAGTATAAAGGGTATCGTAAATTGATATTATTGATACACAAGAGTAATGTTCTTGTTTGCAGTGATTGTATTTAAGTCAGAATAATAATAAATTTGATTTTTTTATTAATTATAAAATAAATATTATTAAAATATTTAAATAAAATAATTGTTCTGTTTGCTATTATCATATAAAATTTCTTCAAATATTAAACAAAATTAATTAAATGTGTTGTGTTTTAAATAGAATATATTTAATGGTAATAAAATGATTTTAAATTTTATAATATTTATTTAACAGATTTTTGAATTCAATAACTCAAAAACATCTTAATTCAAATGTTCAAAATTTTCTTAAAATTAGGTTAAAATTTTCAAAATTTTCGTCTTTTTTAACTTTCACCATCTTTAAAATTAGTGCATATTTTAAATTAATATTATTTTCCAGGAATATAAAAAGAAAATTTTGAATAAACCATTGTTCTACTACTATTTTATTAAAATTGTTTCTGTTTAGAAAACTTTTAAAAAATTTTTATTTTCCAAAATTTGAATTGCGAAAAATATTTGGTAGGTATCAAACTAAAAGGTCCTTTTGTCACAAAATGAATTGTATACATTAAGTATACAATTCTTTTTGTAAAATAATATAATAAAAAAATAAACTAAACAATAAATAATATCAGGTCCAGCACCCTCATTTAATATAAATTTTAATACCTATTTGGTATTATTTATTTAATTATTAAATTATGATTTAAATCAAAATCAATAGAAACGCTTAAAAAGATCCTGTTGGCTTAAAATAAAACAAAATTATTCTATATATTTATAAAATAATAATTACGATATTGATTAGATTCATTGATTCATTATAATAAATTATACTTTATGCGTGATACCTTCATTAAAATTATGTTCTGGTTAATAGAATTAAAAGCTAATATGTATTTTTACATCTGTTTTTTTTAATATTAGTTCAATTTTCTTAACAACTACATTTTATGTACATGCAAACATACATATTATGTCTCTTATTAATTCTAATTGTATTAAGAAGACTATTTTTTTTTATAATTTGTTATATATTTTGTAATATTTTAAAATTAATTTGTTTCTCTGTTTTTAAATATTTTTTTATGAATATTGTTTTTTTTTTCTTAACTATTGCAGGTTTGGTTTTTGTTTAATTATTTAAAGACTTCAAATTTTATAATTTAAATTATAAAAATTTTGGCTATTTGTCTTTTGGATTATTAAAGGCGTTAGTGTTTTTGAATTAATTTTATTTTTTAATTAACATAATTTTTTACTAAAATTTCCTTATTTTTGTCTTAACGCAATTTATAAAGATGTAGATGAAAATATGTAGGTATCTCTACAGCAATTAATCACAAAATTTTAAAAATTAAAATAAACATAGTCTCTTGAAAAGAAGGTCATTATTTGTAATTATGATGAATTTAACTATTATTTATTAATATTTTAAGAAATTCAGGTAAAGGAAAATATTTTAATATTTTATATTATTAATAATTATTATTAATAGTTATTATAGGTATGTTTAAGTTTTTTTTTTTTAATTTTAATTTCATAATTTTTATTTACCATTAAAATTAATTAAAATAATTTGAATTTAAAAATGGAATTGTCATTGATTTATAAAAAACGATAATCAATAATGAAATTATAATATTCGAGGGACATGAAATTTATTAGAAAAGAGTACATTACTTGAAATATGTCCTATCTGCAATATAAAATTGATTGTATTACGATTCATAAATAAAATTCACGCTTATATTATTATTAAGAACGACATTTTGACTCTAAACTTGTCTTCACTTTCTTGATTGAAATATATATATTATAATTATAATATAATTCAAATTAAGGAGTTTTCTTTTCATTCAATTTTTACATTCATATTTCTGTTTTCTATATGCATATATATTTTTTAATATACGACTTTAGAAAATTATAGTTTCAATTTATATACCTAAGTGGGACTCAAATTCTAACCTAATTTATATTAAAAAATAACTAAAGAAAAATTAGTTTTCCAAATTCATTTAAATTTTAGTTTTGTATTCAATTGAAAATTAATTCATCTAAGTGAAACTTTTAAGACAGAAGATGTTTGAATTATATTCATGTTTTATTTTAAGTAAAAAAAAAAATAGTAGCTAAATAAAATTAGAATCAATTCTAGTAGCTTAAATTTATTTATCAATTTCAATTGATAACCAATTTTAAATAACTATTTTAGAATTAAAAAAGTTACAGATTTTTAATTTTAATTTTCATACCTAACTAGTTTTAATTTCTTTTTTCCATGCGTTAATAAAAAAAATTATAATCTTCTAATTATTTAAAAAAAAAAAACACAAAACGTTTTACAGTCACCTAAATTTCGATCACAAATTCTATGTAAAATAGACATTTATTTTTAAATGCCTCTAAATTTGAATTAGAAAAACAAAAAGATAAAAGTTAAGTAACCAGTCTTTAACATTGTTTTTTAAACATTGTTTTATTTTTAAAATTTAAAATTTATTCTTTTCATTTTTATCTTACACATTATTTCTACAAAATATGTGTTTTTATCTTTTCCAAATTTTCCTACATTTGCATTACAATTTTTACAAATCTTTTCCTCTTTTTTTTTATAATTCAAGCATTCCCTTTAATATCACGACTTTATTTCCAAATTTATATTTTACCTAAAATTATTATTTAAATGCTAATATTATTTTATTATTATTATTTATTATTTGTATTTTATTTTTTTGAATTTTGTGTGTGTGTGTAAGTACTTAATATCTAGTTTATTGTATTACTTTTTTTTTATTAACATTTCAACATTTAATTAAATTATTTATTGTAAAAGGATTAGTTAATTGCATATCAAGATATAATTTTAGTAGTTAATTATTATTTTTATTAAATAATTGTTGTCATAATGCAGAATCTTCACTACTATTCGTTCGTGATAAATTATTGCTGTGTTGTTTCTCATCTAAAAAATACAAAAAACGGAAAATTAAAAAAGAGAATTATTTTCATGATTAATTATTTATAATATTATTAATTTACTGAAATTAATGTGAATCAGATTTTTTTTTGTTGAGTTAAAAAAAAAACTTTGAGCAATTATGTATATGCATAAATTCAACGGTCAGTGCTTCAAAATTCTTCAAATGCTATTCGCTTATAATTTCAATTTTCATAAAATTTAATGAATATGCAGGACAAAAATATGTACATCTGTTATTTAATGTTCGACACAAATACCATTCATTGTAACTCTGCATGATTAGTAAAAGTATATTAAACCCTCTTCTATTCTTCATGAAAGTTTCATTAATCTTAAAATTCCTCTTAATAATTATTCTGTTCTATATTATTACATTTATCTCCCTAATAACCATTATTACATAAGAATTTTTTAATTTTTTCGTCTTCAAGTTCATCTTTATATGAAAGAGAACTTCACAGAAAACTCAGTTTTGGCTAAAATGGCCAAATTTTGTTATAAATATTTACTATTAAAATTTACTTGTATAAAATCTCATAAAATCTCTTCAGACAACCTTTTTCTTATGTTTAAGAATAAAAAATAACTTTTTTCGAATCAAAAAAACAATTCAAACCATAAAAATTATATTCAAAAAAAGGAAAATTTAAAATCTAAAAAAAATTAAAAATTAAAATAAATAAAATCAAATTATAAGTATAATATACATTCATTTTATTTTTAATCATAAATTTTCAATAAAATTTTGTATGTATGTGTATTTTATCTATATTTCTAAATTATTATTTTTTATTTTTTTTTTCTGTTTTTAGCTTTTTCGTTATCCTTTCTAATTAATATTAGTTTATTTCAATTTTTCTTTTGCAGTATGAATTTTAATAATAATTTTTATTTATATTTGTTTTTTTAGTCAAATTTATTTTTTATAATATAAGTGCAACGAAAGTTTTTAAAGAGAAAAAGAAGGAAAATACTTAAATTACATACTAGTTTTAAGATTTTACAATTAAAAAAATAATAATAAATTTATATAACTTAACAAATATTAGAAAATAATAAACATTTAAAAAAAAAATACATAACTACAAAAAATTTCATAAAGTACGTATTTATGTGTCACAAAACATTACAATTTAAAATAATAAAAAAAAAAAATACATTGAAAATTAAAAATATTAATTAAAATTTAATTACAAAATTAAGGAGCTTTTGTTAAAACTAAAACAGCAGTAAACAAAAGGGACTTGAAAATATTTAATTTTACAATTTTTGTTTTTAATTTTTACACTTAAAATACATCTTGCTGAATTTTTGTTTTAAAATTTTTTTGCTATTAATTTTTATAATTTTTTTTTTCTATTCAAATTTTTTTGATTTTTTATTTGAAGTTATTTTAAATTGATTATTACTACGTTTTTGATTATATTTGTTTTATTTTGATTACTAAAATCTAAATTTAATTTTTAAAAATCGCGTTTTTTAAATATAATTTAAAGAAAATCTATATGATATCTAAGGATATTCACGTGAATTGCATATAAGACGTGTAACGAAAAGAATATGAATTTTATGAAACAGTTCAAATTTCTTATCTCTAATAATGGGGCACAATTTTTAAAAATTGGCAAGCCAAAAATCTGGTCGCTTCAAAATGTTTTCATCTAACATATTGACTTTTATAATATTCAAACAAAATAAGTTAAATAATTTTGATTACACCAAAATATGGGCACCTCGAAAATTTCTACTAAGTAAACTATTTTAACAAAATTGGGTTGGTATTAAAATTTTAAAAAATTAATCGTCAAATTTTAATTTTATAAATTGTAAAACAAAACAAAAAATTAAATAGAAATTTCTAAAAAAAATTCTTATAAAATAACAAGAATAATAAAATAAAGGAAATTTTAATGCAAAAAAACAAAAAATTTTTTAAATTTATTGCAAAAAAATATTGCAAAATTTTGTGATATTGCACGAACACGTGAAATATCCTTAATCTTAGTCAAAAACAGAATTTCGATTTAATATTTTTTTTCCTAAAAGTTTTTTTTTTTGGGGGAAATTCTGTAATTAAAATATATATTTAATTTGTTTTCTTCGTGCTAATAAAAAAGAATTTATAAATAGTTATAAAATTTAATTTGAATTTAGAATAAAAATTCATAAAATGAATATTTTAGATGATTTTAATTTAAACATTATTTTGGTCAAAAGAATGAAATACATAATTATGTTTAATTAAAATTAAATGTATTTGTAATAAAAATTTTGTTTAAAAATTTATCAAGTTCAATTTAATTCAGGAATCTACAAAAAAGAAATAAAATGAAATTCAGAAAATTATAGCTATTGTTAAAACTTTTTTATATTCTTAGTAATAAGAAAATTTCTAACTTTTATTATTAAAATTTAAAAATTAATTTTTATGATTTTTTATTTTAAAATCTACATTAATCACTTCTTATTTAAGTGAATTTTATTTTTATTAAGTGTTAAATTTTTTGAAAATTTTTAATTTTATGCATATTTTTATTAAAATTATAATATTTAATAATAAACTAAAATATTACTATAATAAAGTAATATAATTAAAACTTTCAAAAAAAAAACTTAAAAAATAAAATTTTTGCTTATTAAACTAAATTAGAACAAAATTAGAACAAAAATAATAAATTTTTAATTATGTACTATCGACTTGTATCTGAATTTTTAGTATTACTAGCTACAATTGTTGAAATTTCTTCGTTTGCTTTGGAAACTGTACTAAGACTTGTTGCTTCTAAGGATTGATGGTCATTATCTTTTTCAACAGAGATTTCTCCTAAAGGAGAATTTTGATTATTATTATTTTTAGCTTGTGTAGTGTTATCATCTGAATTTATATTACCCGTAATTATATTACTACTATTACTATTATTGTTATTATTGTTATTATTATTATTATTATTATTATTATTATTACTATTATCGTTACTAGTATCAGTAGAAATTTTTATTTTCTCTTCAAGATTTTCACTATTACCACCTACATCTGAAGATGTAATAATAATATTCTTTGGCGGTGGTGAAGATGATGATATTATGTTACTACTACTATTATTACTATTGTTATTATTTTCTTTAATTACATGGGGGCCACTATTTTCTGAACTATTTGAATTATTTGTTCCCAATGAAGATGAAGTTTTTGAAGAATTGTTATCAATATTCGTTGTAGTTGATGATATGTTATTACCTGTATTTGTATTTAATGCTAAACTTGTTGAATTTGGAGAATTTCTTGATGTTTTATTATTATCATCTTTAATAACATCTGACTCCATCGTACCTGTTAAATTTGTTTGTTGCTGTTGTTGTTGTTGCTGCTGTTGTTGCTGTTGTTGCTGTCCATTATTGCTACCACCTGAACTGACAGATGGTGGTTGTGAATTGCTATTTGGTCCTAATATACCAACTTTCACATCATCTGATGGTGTTTTGCGTTGCAAATCGTTAATATCTTTAACTGTTGTTGGCATTAAACCCTCTTTACTTGAATTTGATGAATCACTTATTGTTTGACTACTTTCACCACCATTAATTTCATGAGATATTGATGGTGTTGTACGGTTATTTGTATTAGCACCAGAACCTAATTGATTAATAGAACTATTATGAACAATTCTATCATTATTATTATTACTATTACTACGATCACCTCCAGTTAAATCTAATGTTGTTGGTTCATTATTATGACTTTTGTTACCATCGTTACGAGATATTACTGTTGGGCTATTTGATGTTGTTCTACCACTACCATTTTGAGATGCATTTTTAATTGTAGGTGATGGATTTGTTCCATGATGATTATGTGTTAGGGATAATGGCATAGAACTTTGATGGGCAGCTGATATTTGACTTTGAGTTGTTGTAACGGGAATAGAATGTGAAATTGATAATCCTGGATGATGTGCTATAGATGATATTGTCGAATGATGTTGCTGTACAGATGGATGATGACCCATATGATGGGAATAGTACATTGAATTTGATAAAGAATTATGACCGGAACTTGTTGAAACTGCTGCAGCTGCTATCGCTGAACTTGTATGCTGTTGATGAGCTGCAGCTGCTGCCGCCAGTTGTTCAGCTTGCTTCGAAGAAGCATGTTGTTGTTGTTGCTGCTGTTGTGCAGTTGATAAATTTATACTGTTTGAATGAGTTGATGAACTGGAATTAGCAGCAGAAACAGCTGTTGCGTGTTGTTGAGCATGTGCTGTGGTTAAATGAGGCGATATATGGGGATGTGTTAGATTTAAGCCAGGGTGAGCTGACAAGCCTAAAGCAGCTTGCTGTAAGCTCAGACTTGTTGCAGGATTTGTTAACGCTGCCATGCTTGGATGTGATAGCACTCCTGATGTAGAATGACTTAAGCTTAAACTTGTCGGTGGCGGTATATGATGTGGTAGACCAGGTGGCCCGTGAGTTAAATTAGGTAAAAGACTAATATTTAAACCTGCTATAGCAGCAGCTGAATGTGGACTTTGTCGTTGCGCCGAGGAATGATAAGGTAATGACGGTATACCATGCAAAGATGTTTGTGGTGGTCTTAAACCTAGCGCCAAAGGATTCATTCCCATCGAAATTATATTTCTATTTAACGGAGAATATATTTGTGGCGAGAAATGATGATGCTGAGCTGCTAGCAGTCTTTCTCTTTCCCGCTGCTCTTTTTCTTTTTCTCTCATTTCTCTTTCTTTTGCTTCACGTTCTTTTTCACGTTGTTCTTGTTCTCGTTTTTCCCTTTCTAATTGCTCTCGTTTTTCGCGCTCACGCTGCTCTTTCTCTCTTCTTTCTCTCTCCTCTCTTTCACGCATTTCCCGTTCTTTTTCGCGTTGTAACTCTCTTTCTCGTTCTTCTTCACGTAATCTATGCTCTTCTAATTTCATTCGCTCATGTAAACTAGGATGAACTCCCAATGATGCTGGTAACATTGAATATAAATGAGAGTATGGTGCAGCCATTGGGGGATAAAGCGGATGAGCATGTGGATGTGCATAATGAGGACTAGCACGTAATAAACCCTGAAATCTCGGGTCATGAAGATATTGTTCGGGATACAAAAACATTCCTAAAACAAAAAAAAATTAAATTATTAAAAAATTAAAAATTTAAAATACCGAATTTATTTCAAAGTGCATTAAAAATACTACCTGGAGGAATGCCGGGTAAACCAGAAAAAGGTGGATAAGCATCCAATGGAAAATGTCCAGCAGGATGTAAATGACGATTATCTTCCGATCTGTAGGGTTGAAAACCACTTCGTGCCAAGAGATCGGGTTGTATTTGTGGTGCAACGGCATTTAAGCGAGCAATTTTTTCTGCTGGAGTTGGCGATGGTATGGATGTGCGTTGTTTCTTTGCTACACTACCACGATCATCTATACTTTGACTGTTACTGCTAACACCAGTTACAGTATTTCCACTAACTGTTCTAACATCTAAACGAGAATCAACATTAGCTGAAGGAACTCTTTGAATGTTAGTATTATGTCCATTATTATTATTACCAGATGAATTATTATTTGCACTACCAGTAGCCTCACGACTTGAATTTAATGATCGATCACGTGCTGAACTACCAGTAACAACGTTTCCACCACTTGTTATAACTGCATCCTCATCTTCTTTACAATCAGCTTGTTTTGCTAAATTTCTTAAAGCTGATGCAAATGGTCCACGTGCACTTGTATTATTTGAATTTTGATTATTACCACTACCATTTGTACCACCTCCACCAGGATTAGCTGATTGAGATAAAATTGCTTGTTGTTGTGTACCAATAACAGCCGATGGTACACCAATATGATTAGAACTTATCACATGATTGCTTATTGCATGTGGATTTGAAGAAATTTGAGACTGTGTTGAATTAGTACCAACACCAGCTGTTGCTGGTGATTGTAAATGATGTGGTGATGTTATTAATGGTGCTGGACTTGTTGCTGGACGTTTTTGTCCCGCTTTAGGTGGTACTAAAATTATAAAAATAAAATTTTATTAATTTATCAGTTAAATTTTTTAATTTTTCTTTTTTTCTTCAAAACTTATGTACAAAATTGAATTATTTCTTTGCATTATTGACATTAAGATAGATAAGATTATTATAGGAAAATATTATTGAATAAAATAATTTAATAGAAGAAGTTATATTGCAAATTATAATTAACAAATTTTAATATACTCAATAGATGTACACTCAAACTGTTCACAGTTTAACAGTTAAAATTACTTAATTAAATTTCCTTATATTATTGTTTTAGCTAGAAAAGTTTTTTGAAATAAAGTTAAGTATTCACAAAATATTAATAATATTGCTTATTAAATTTCAAATGAGTGCTTTTATTTCAATAATTTTTATACTCAATTATATTTTATGTTAAGTTTTATTTTCATATCACTATGCATATTCCAAAAAATATCCAATTAAATCAACGTAGGTACTTCTTTAAAATTACATGAAAATTTTAACCTTGTGATAACATTAATGAAATGTTGATGGGGTTGGTGTTTTTTAGTGAATCGGAAAATAATCGGTATAATGATAACGATTTTAAAATACATGATCGGCATAAAATAAAATTATTTTCTGATGATGATAAAATTTGATGATTCTAAAAAATATTTACAGTTATGTATTTGACGTTGTTTTCAGATACTCGTATAAATACTCGTATGTATATGCATAAGTTTGTACAATTTGTGTGTATATATATTGCAATGGCTTCAATCATGAGAATTAAAATATATTTTGAGCGAAATATTACAATTAATTTTTAAAATCTAAATTACATACGATATTACTAAAAGGTTTTTATATTTTCAAAAATTTCTTAATAATGAATAAGTACGAAATATTGAATGCATTTATTTAAATTACAATAACTATACGGAACAGAACTTTCATTTTAAGAATATTAAGAGTATAAATTTTGAAAATGTGAAACTAAAAGAGTTCAATTTTGATTAACTGTTTGCACACTTTGGCTAAAGAATTCTGTCTTTAAAAATTGTTTCCAAATGCGTTGTTCTGTGGGCAATCTCTCAATCGAACAGTAATGGAAATTGGAAAGTCAATTCAGATCAAATCACAAAAGATATTTCTAAGAGAAAATAAATATTCGTAGTTTTTGGAAAACATATTTTTCATAATAATCTAAAATTCTGACAGAATAATCTACAATATTATTGCAGAACAACCATTTCAAAATTTATTCAGTTGATTGGTTTTGTGTAAAAAAATATATTTTTTTTTGTGTTTTTTTTTTGGTTATGAGATAAAAATCTTTTAAGTTTTCATTATTTTTAAATATATAATAGTCGTCTAATATCCCTATATTATATGTACAATAAAATATACGATAATGTCAACGTATATTGCAAATTATATAAACATACATATACATTTCGACTAAACTTAATTCTATAAAAAAAATTTGTACATAATTTTCTATATACCCATGTATTTTATATTTTCTTTGCATTTTATTCTTATATATATAGAAAGAGAAAAAGTTCATTTTGAATTGCAATGATATTATCTACATAACACTTGTATAATTTTTGAACATCATTGATAGAATTTTAGAAGAACATTATAATATATACCCATGTATTTTATATATACGTTCTTCTATTAATATATGTATAATAAAGAGGCAGAATAAGAAATGACTCATAAGTGAAAATATATGAAATTGTGGAAAATATGTTGTGATGATTTTTCTTTTGATTTTATTTTATTTTTTCTTTATTTGCATTTTTTTTTGTTAGAGACCAAAAACATAAAATCAATTTATTGACTAAGAGCTATATAAACATTTTGTGGTTAGAAAGAAATTAGTTACGAGTTATATATGTGTATAGCACAAAATAAATGAGTAGATATATGTAAAAATTCCATACATTTCTGAAATATCCTTTTCATTCCTTTACTTTTAAAATACAAATATAAATGGAAAATTATGTATATATATATATATATAATATATATATAAATAATATAATATATATATATTATGTATGCACAAAACTATATAGAGGAAAAAATTTAGTGTTGTATATGTATGCTAGCATTTAAACAAATAATGAAAATAAATGAAGAAGAAGAATAATAAGAACGAAAATAGAAAAAAAAAAAAACTAAAAAATTAAAAGAAATAATGAAGAAAGGATTCAAAAATTTTTACTGTAACAAAAAGAAAATGAGAAATATAGAAACAAAAAATAAAACTTAAACAACGACACAGTTCATTAAATTTCAATTTGATTAAACATCAGAATTTTCAGAATGTTACTCTCTATATACATATATACTCTCGCACACTATACGATTCCATTTTATTTTTGTTTTTTTTTTTCTATCTAAAATGATATAATCTGCCCGTTTACATACATAAAATATTTATATATAAATTTTTATATAACAAAACCATAACATTTTTTAAGGATATTATAACTCCTTTCAAATATTTTTTTACACATGAACATTTAAGTATAATATACATACATAGTTATATGTATTGTAGACACAAAAATAAAAATATTGAATTTATGTATGTAAAAATTTAATAAATTTTGTGAAATGTTCTAAAATTATATCTATATGAATATAAATATACATATGTATAACAAAAACATTTTATAAGTATTTATAATGAATTTTACAATAATCTTACAGACGGTTTACAAATTTTTGAAATTATAAATTGAAGTTATATAAATTAAGATTGTAAACAAGCAAATTTGTACAAATTTGGGCTTTTTTATTTTTTTGAATAAATATTACAAAATCACATAATTTCAATAATTAAAACTGCTACTGGTTCTAAATAAGAGCAAACATATGTATGAATTTAATATTTCCTGCTTTAAAACTATTTTTTGCTATTATTAAATATGACTTGAATATGTTTCAAAATGAAAACTGTTATACTATGGGCTTTTTAGGTATTTCAGTTCTTAGTTAGATTTAACATGCCGCATGTTTTTTTTTTAGGAACTAAAAATTTGTAGTGTTTGATTTTGAAGTACTGTTTTGCAGCATATTCTCTAGCTCATGCTACAAGTAAAATTTTAAAAAAGCTTTTGCATATAAGCAGTTTAAAAAATTTCATTACAAAAGTGGTTTTTAACATTAAAATGTCGGACATTAAGGATTTTAACTAAAGTAAATTGTTTTTAGATTAATTTGAAATTTATCTTTTTTTTTTCATTTCGTTTAATAATGTTGAAATAATTTTAATTTTTTGGAAACCACCTTCTATTATTATAATACATTATGGACAAGTTTTCAATTTTTTCGGTTTTGTATGTATTTTGCTAAACATTTTCATTTATGCTTTGAAATAATTGCTCTCAACTCCATTTCTTTTTAATTCTTTATTTGAAATTGTTTAATTAAACGACCAGCTGATTTTAATTCTGACATACTCGCGCATCATACAAAAGTGGTAGCGTCAAACTTTGTATATAGTATTTAAAATATTGCAAAAAAAGCTTCTTTAATTCTAACTTGTAGCGCATAATGCAATACCAAGAAAGCCCTTTGTGCTCGAAATTTGTAATCATACATTGAACATAATTTAAATTTTAAAATTTTGTTAATGTTCAGTGTGAATATTTAGGATAATATGGGCTCTTAATTCCATATACACTTGCTTTTTAAACAGTCTGTATGAAAATTTAATAAGAATAAAATTGTTGCATATATTTTGATACACTATCATGCTATAAATAAAATTCATATATGTATATGTATAAGATCACAACGATTCATGACAATTAATATTGAAATCAATTGGTTGGATTAAACGGTAAAAAAAAAGGGCACTATCTATAATACATATTACATATGTATTATAAAATATATAGTTATAAAAATAATAGATGACGACAGTTATATGAAATTACAAGTAATACAAAAAAAATGTATTCTATTATTGTTATGAATTTTGAAAGTAAAGGGAGATTACAAATTAAAATAAATGTTAAATATAAAAATAAATAGAAAAATAATAATCAAATTACAAAGATGATTTAAAAGTCTTGTATTCAAAATTACAAATATTGAGTTCATTTCCCTTTTTCGTCCTTTTTTTGTTTTTTTGTTCTAAAATAAATATGTTTACGTATCATTTATTTATATTTTTATTATAATTTCAAAAAAATATTTTTAATAATAAAAATACAATTTTCTTAAAATTAAAATTAATGTGAAAAGTTGTAATTGTAAGATTTGTGGTAGAATATCATACACACGTATATGTACAAACATTTTAGCATTTATGTAATAATCAATAAAGCTATAATAACATTACATGTTATATTGTTTAATTGCAATATAATTATGTAACTGTGAAAAATAATTAAAGAGATTGTTTGAGATCCTTTGTTTTATTGCAATATAACAGATAAATTCTTTTCTGTAAAAAAATACCACAAAATAAAAAATTAGCGTTAATTTTAAGCTTTAATTACTAAAATCATAGGAAATTATTTTCATATTACTTTTCAATATTAGTAAATAAATTTAAAATGATTTTATGCACTAATAAGGATAATTTGTTTTATAATAGTTAACTAAATTTTAATTTATTACACCCAATATTTTTATTAAGAAACCAATTACAGTTTCGTCTGAAATAGTAACCGTATCTATAACTATAGAAGAATGTATTTTTAAGTCATTATCTCAAAAGTTATAATTTTAGTTTAACGGAATCTCATTAAAATTTATTTGCATAGTATTTGATTTCAGAAATAATTTCAAAAAAAATGAATCATATTTAATTCAAATTTTAATTATGAAAATTTTCAGAAATCAAATAAACTTATCTTTAAAAATTTAGATTTTTTCATTTTAAATATTTCAAGAAAATTAAAAATTATTCCTAAAATTAATACCTTATATATATATATATATATATATATATATTGGTATAGAAACGAAAAACTAATAAAATTGCAATATAAA